AAACAAACTAGTTTGGTTACTTTGGTGACTAACAAACTATATAACATAAGTGCACACACAAAAAAGAGATCATAAGTTTATATGCATGTGAATACTTTAAACAATCTAGTTTGGTCACTTTGGTGACTAACAAACTATATACACATTGATCACATACATAAAATAAACAATAAATCGTTTCACCAACCTAATAGCCCAAAACAGATTACTATACTGTCCAAGAATTTTAAAAAAAAGTTTCAAATCAATTTATGGCATTAAGGCATCATTAACGTTACTCCCGTATCATCAAATTCTTGCGTATCAGTATAATCGTTATCTTTATTCAAGTACAGAGAAACAATTTTGTTTCTCTCGGTCAATAAAGAAGATGTTGCCCAAGGTCTTTAATGACTCAGGCGTTGAAGAATTATTTCACTGGTTGCACCGATGATTTAAAGCATGATTTCATAATTACCGTAGGTATACATAATTTCAAAACAGCAACTCATTCGCGAAGGTTTATTATTTTTAATGAAGATTATCAATTCAAGTAATCCAGGCTCATGATACCACATGTAAGCATAAACTTTAATTTATACCAGGATCTTGAATATGATAATCTTACATGTAATTGCCATAGAAAACATACCTGAAGCGGAATCCATTATCTTGAAGCGGAAGCGTTAATTCAAAACTGGTTTCTCGCCCCTTGCCCTAACTTTATGTTACCGCCGCCTTTAGAGATGGAAGAGAGAATAAAAATACGGTAACCCTAATGGGTGGGGAGAAGATCAATTTATAGAGGTTCTCACTTAATCCGGTACGTCCATCAAGTAACCGATCGGACGGATGAGATTTGCTCATTAATTAATATTAATTATGGGCCTAATCTTATTGGGCCACATACACGTAAGAAAATAGTTTACAGCCTTATGCTGCACTTGGTGCACTTTGATGTCCTAGCCAATTGATGTGTTGCTTAAGTTTAGTTGTTTTACGTCGGAACAAATTGAAAAGCTGCATGCTTCAAAGACTTACTATTAACACTCGATATTCAGATGGGGAGCAAGAACCTAAGACAATGCTGCATTGAGAAACAGAACCATATTGGTCTCATCTGAAAAGGTCTTTCGGCATAAAGGGGAAATCTGAAAGGTTCTCTAAATCATCACACAGGCTGCTCACCTGTACCATATTATTATTTTCAAGCTTCAAACCCTGAATCAACCTCTAGTCATCCACAGAAAAAGGAAAAAAAAAATTCACCCGCTCCATAACATTTCTATCCCCAAAAACATCGTTTATGTTCCTTCATCTGTTGAATGTTGATGAAGAGCAAAGCTCTCTTCAATGCCTATTTTCTATCACAACAAAAACCAAAACCATAGTAAACAAACAAAAGTGACCAATACTAAGGAGTCCAGTAAATGACAACCACATGATACCTAAATAAATTAAAATAGAAAGACAGAAAGTTCCTCATCTAAAAATGGTTAAGAGAATTTAAGAACCAAGGAGTAGTTAAACAAAATGAGTAGAACTCATTCTACTGTCAATTATTTCCTGTTTCTAATGATATGGAAAATCCTTCCTCTTTTGAGAAAAAGAAATTATGTTAAAACAGCACGATTCCACGTCTCAGCCAACTGGCCCAATCCAAAAGACACAAGACAGAATGAGTACTCAATGCACCAAAAATGCTTGGTCAAGTTAAACTTTAGCCGGGAAGAAGCATCAGAAATATTCTTATAGTTCACAACAACTTCAGTACATACCTGCCTTGCAACCATCAGTAATTTGAACCTCGTAAAATTAGATTAAGCCTGCAATTGATGGTTTTAAGCCATTTGATAACATGAGCACATCTTATAGTATGTGACCTGTCATTTTAGTTTCTTATATCTTCCTTCTTGAAATACTTTAAAGACGCATTTTATGATAATTGTTTAACCCTTAAAATACTTTTTAGGGTCAAAGCAATTAATTTTATATTTTGGGGCACTATAACAACATATTTAACTCACTTTTCCAAATATAGACAAGATAAAAAGGAATAACAATTGAACAAAATAATTGAGAGATAAAAGGAAAGAGAAATCTTATTGAGGTTAGTAGCACTTCTTCCGTGTAACAATATTGAATTGCCAGAAATAGAACAACGAGATTCAATAATGTGATTGAGTAGTTTTCGGATGGGGATACAATGTAAGGAATAGGGGTATAGTATTTCTATCCATAACTGATTGCCTTGTCCAGCTCCTGTTTGTTACTGTCATTTATTACATTTATTATACGTTATATAACTGATGCTAAATCGATGGCGCAATAATAGCAAATCCCGTGCAATCCGGGATTAAATGATTCTTTCCTTATTCGTGTTCATGAACGACCTTCCATAACATGCTCAAGGCTTTTCCTTCATGGTCAGTTCCGGAACTAATAGTTACGGTACTAATATACATTAGCTTTGAATGTGTTTTACATGTCATTCTTCAATAACTTTACTGCCAAGTGTTGCAATCTAATTGATCCACGTGGTGAAGTTATTTTCCACTAATATCTCAACTGAATATTAGAGAAGTGGTAAGTTATTTATGGCGAGAATATTTGCCGCCTCTTCCCGAGATCATAATGACGTGCTGCAAAAGTGAAGAGACATGTGCCGCCTCCATTTAATGCTCGAAACACGTGGCAATATGATTGGTTCTAAGATTTGTAGCGGTTTTCTAGGCACTGACGGCTCTGTGACAGTCCAACGATGTAACTCTTTTCTATAAATATGAAATCATAAACCCTCAAAACCTTTTTCTACTTTCTTTGCCTTTGCCTTCCTAGAAATATTTTCTACTTTTTCGTTCTTCGCTTTCAACCACTTTCTTTATCTTTGCAATGACTTCCAAATCTTCTACTTCTTCTAACCCTACTACATCTCCACGCCGTGATGTCATAGTTAACGTACTTCCTAACGTGGTAGCTCCAGTTAGGTCTAGGAGAAGAGAAGGAAAACTCCATAGCCTTTGCTCCATAGCGAGTAGAGACGGTACTACTTCCACTAAGGAAAGTTCTTCCAAAACTCCTTCAACCTCCAAAACTTCTTCTAAGGGAAAAACCAAATATACCACAAAAACTTCAGTTGAGCCTTTAATCTCTGAAATTATTCTACAAGATTTTTTTTGCAGCCGACTGTGCTGAGCAGAAAAAGAAGACTAGTCAAAAGGATGGTCGTAGTCAGGTCATCTCCCAGTTGTTCGCAAAGAGTGCCATTGGAGATCCAATTTTCCAGTCGAAGCTCCTCGTGAAGACGAATGAATAACTAGCTACTGCGAATGTTATTCATTCGTGTATACTTATTCGTTCACCCTCGGGTTCCAACCTGCATAGATCCGGTGATCATAGAGTTTTGTTGAAACTTCACCTCTGCCTTCGTAATTTCCAGCTCTGAAGTCATCACTTTGACTTGTTGCTGAAGAAATTCCTTTTCTTTATCTGATTCTTCTTTGTCAAGTTGAAGGCTTTCCGATTGTCAGCCTCCACAGACAATTCTTCAACCCGATGCTCATACCAAGCAACTCTCTTCATCAACTCCTTACCAGTCAAGTTAAGTTGTGTTAAAGAAGTTTAAAATATTAAGCAAATTTAAGGAAAGAGATATAAAAAAAAGAAGGAATCATACCTTGAGAGCTGAATGAACCATGTCATTCGCGAGGGGTAATTGAAGAGTAAGACTTCAATCTGTTCTTTTCAATTGGACCAATGAGTAGTAACCAAGGGGCAGCCTGGTCCAGTCTTTTCAAGAGATTGACGTCTTTCGAGATATCTACTACAACCTGCCGCATTTTTCCTTTTCTCGAAGGACCAGCCTCATCATGAACAAGAATGGAAAGGACTGGTACCAAAGCTACGGTATATTGGTTACCGCTAGTAAAACCCGAAAGATGGTCTTCACCATCGTAATCACCAAATTATTGATCAAATACATCCTCAGTTGACACAGGGACTGGTTCAACACCTTCATATCCAATGCCACCACAGAGGTATCCTCAAGCTCATCAACTAACTGAAACTGAGTTTCAGAAGGGTGAACTCAAGATTGGTTCGACCACCTTCCGACTCAATTTGTTTTCTACTGGAATGGGGCCTCTTTTTGAGAGGGCTAAAGTCTTCCTCCTCTTCGGAAGCAGGCGCCCCTTTATTTTTTCTTTTCGATGAGAGAATGCTCAAAATACGTTTCTGAGCTACGTTGACATTAAGTCTGATAGCTGGACCAGAAGGAATGGTTACAAAATAAAAATGCAGAAAAATATGCATGATATAGAAGAACTTACCGTGGGTCTTCACTTTCCCACCATTTTATTTTGGAAATGGACTTCCAAGTTTTTTGCTCCATTGGAGCGTAAGATAACATTAAAGCAACATAATCATGGAAACTCTGAACTTCCCCAAATACTTCCATGGTCGCTGCAAAAGGTATATAAAAAAGTAGCATAAATAAAACAAAAGCAATTTAAAGACGGCGAAGGAAACTTACGTCTATAATCCCACTTCTCGAGAAATGGAAGATTATCATGTCCTACCAATTCTTGGGTAGAAACAACTACAAACTTGTTGTCCCACCACCTATCATGCTCGTCCTCGGGATTGACGATAACTCGTTTGCTTCTTGTCGTGAGAGTAAATACAGCGACACGAAAAAGTTTGCGAGCGTATAAATGGAGAAGATGGCAAAGAGTGAAATTTGTCGAAACTAAACTTGACAAAAAGCCAAGGCACACCACTACTCTCCAAATTACCGGGTCTATCTGACCGAAACATACGTTAAAGTTTCGGCAAAACCCTATGATCACTAGATATATTGCAGGTTGGAACCCGAAGGTGAACGAATAAGTATACACGAATGAATAACCTTCGTGATAGCTAGTTATTCGTTCATTTTCACGAGGAGTTTCGACCGGAAAATTGGATCTCTAACATCACTCTTTACGAACAAGTGGGGGATGGCCAAACTGATATGGGAAGGGTAATGGTCAGTTGGATCATTATGGCCATCCTTTTAACTTATCTTCTTATCCCACTCGTCATAATCGGCTGCAAAAAAAAATTCTTGTGGAATAATTTTAGAGACTAAAGGCTCAACCAAAGTTTTTGTGGTATCTTTCGCTTTGGTTTTGCCCTTTAGAAGAAGTTTTGGAGATAAAATGAGTTTTGGAAGAACTTCCCTTAGTGGAAATAGTACTGCCTCTACTCGCCATGGAGCCAAGGCTGCTGAGTCTTCCTCCTCTTCTCCTAGACCTAACTAGAGCTACCACGTTAGGAAGTTCGTCGACTATGACAGCCTGACGAGGAAATATAGAAGGTTAGAAGAAGCAGAAGGTTTAGAAGCCATTACAAAGATAAAAGAAGGTTGAAAGCGAAGAACGAAAAAGCAGAAGAGATTTTTAGGAAGAAGGCAAAGGCAAAAGAAAATAGAAAAAGCCTTGGAACTGACCAAGAAGGAAAAGCCCCGAGTTGAACACAAATAAGGAAAGAATCATTTAATCCTGAATTACACGGGATTCGCTATTATTACACCATTGATTACGCATTAATTATGTAACGTACAATAAATGCAATAAATGATAGTAATGTGCAGTAGCTGGATAAGGCAATCAGTTACGAATAGAAATACTATTTAAACCCATGTTCCTTACATTGTATCCTCATCCGAAAACTATTCAATTATTCTCTCAATCACACTATTGAATCTCAATATTCTATTTCTGGTAATTCAATATTTTGCTTACATGGAAGAAGTGCTACTAACATCAATAAGATTTCTCTTTCCATTTATCTCTCAATTATTTTGTTCAATTGTATTCCTTTTATATTGTTTATATATGGAAAAATGAGTTAAATCGATTGTTAGTGCCCCAAAATATAAATTAAGTGTTTTAACCGTAAAAACTATTTTTAGGGTTAAAGAATAATGTAATTGCTTATTTCTAGTCCTCAGGCACCTAGAAAAGATAAGGATGTGGTTGATGAATTGAATGAGTTATGGAGTAATGATATAGAGACATTTGGTGCATCAACTATAAAGCACTTCTAGATGCATGACCACAAAAGACTTTCCAACTTACAGTAAGGGCTTAAATTTTTTGCCGTCCATGATGCCTAAATAATACTCCCATTCAGCGTATGAGGGTCAAATTGACTTTTTTTTAAGTCGAACATAGTATTTTCAGAATTTTTGAAATAAAATTAACATATTTAGAAACTACCTAAAAAGTACTTTAGGACACAACAGTTAATAATTCAAAATATTTGCAGAAAACCCGGTCAAACAAAATCTTGTTTGACTCCCCAAATGGTAATAGATTCAGATAAAGTGGAACATATGGAGTAGTAAATTAGAAAATTTTATATTTCATTGGTATAATACTTGCAAGTTGTATATAGTTAAGTTATATAAACTACCTTTTAACATATATTATTTCTTATGAATCATGTAATTCACATGAATGGAGCACTAAAGGATACACGGAATGTATATTTGAAATTAGAATACATTTTTATAAAAGTTGAAAGTAAGATTTGTTACATGGGTCACAGTCGGTATCTTGAACCCAATCACAAGTGAAGTAGTGGAAAATTTGTGAAAAGTAGAAAAAACTTGAAACCAAAAGAGCTATTAGGAAATGATGTCATACAACAATTAGATTTTTTTATAACTAATAGATCATGCAAAACACCCAAATAATAAGAAAAATAAACACCATCCTGAAAGTCAAATCAAGTGAGGAAAGTATTTTGTTTAAGTTACCATACTGGGAGAGTTTGAAGTTACGATATAATTTAGATGTCATGCACATAAAAAAAAATATTTGTGAGAATCCTTTAAGGGCATCATTCAATATTGATGGAAAAATTAAGGACACATATAGAGCAACACAAGACCTTAAGGATATGAATGTAGGAAAAGAACTATGGTTGCACCATAATAGTTCCAATTATACGATGACACTTGTTATTATATGTCAAAAAAAGGAAAAGGAAAAGAATTTTGTGCAATTTTAAAATATGTAAAATTTCCTAATAGTTATGCTTCAAATGTATCGTGGTGTATAAGCATGAATGATGGTAACATGACTGGATTAAAAAGTCATGACCACTATGTCCTTTTACAAATTTCTAAATACAAATAGGCACCATTCGTTACAAGTGGACATGATAGTTTTGCTCAATTATCTTAGCATCATTCACGCTTACACACCGCAACATTTTGAAGCATAACCACTAAGAAACAAATTTAAGAATGCACAAATCTTTTTTTCCCTTTTTTGACATATCATAACAAGCAAATAGTCCAGTACAAATGGAAACATTTTTTGCAACCATAGTTCCTTCTTATGTTCATATCCTTAAGACGGTGTTGTCAAAGGCAAAATCTCTAAAAAACGCTCTAGGTCAATTGGGCTTTAAGAGCAAAGCGCAATTTAATTGCGGGCTTTAGTTAAAAAAGGCACAATGCAAAAAAAAAATATATATGTAATTCAAGAGAAAGTAACAAATTCATTCCTATTGTTTTCCTTAATAACTAATACACTTATTTGTCGATTATATTTGTAGTATAGCATTACCCCATTCAAGATAGAACTCATGAGCAATAAGGGGTACGTCGTGATGCCTTGCCTATGCTGAAGCACAGCTTAAGTGAGGCGAAGCGTCCTCCCTGAGATTTTTTGAGCTTCAGGGCTTAACCGCGCCTTAGATGAGCCTTTGACAACACTGCCTTAAGATCTTTTCTTGCTTTATACGTGTTCTTAATTTTCCAATCAATGTCTCCAGAACCCCCATACAAATATTATTTTCTATGTACATTACATCTTAATTATGTTGCAACTTCAAACTCTTCCGGTATAGTTGTTTCAAATAAAATACTTTTCTCACTTGATTTGACTCTTCAAGATGACGTTTATTCTATTTTAGTGTTTTCTTGATCTATAAGTACCTATAAAGTTTAGTTGTTGTAAGATATTATTCCTAAAAGAACTTTTGGCTTCAATCTATTTTCTATTTCCCCTTTAAATTTCTTACTTCTCTATATTTAATTGAGTTCAAGATACCGATAGTGACCCATGTAACATATTTTACTTCTTAACTTGTGTGAAGACATATCCTTATTGCAAATAGGACATGCCATGTACTCCCTTAGTATTTCATCCAAATAAATTACCTAATGGTTGATTCATATGAAATAATATATGTTAAAAAATAGGTTTATAGTTGCGCTGTATAAAACTTACAAGTATTATACAAGTTAATTATATACACTTTTCTAATGTACTACTCCTTTCTTTCCCGTTTATGCGACCATATTATTTTTTAGTCTGTTTCAGAAAAAATGACCACTTTCTAAATTTGAAAACAATGCAACTTAATTTTCCCATTCACCAATAATGACAAGCTTTCATAGACAAACAAATGTTATAGTATGTTTAATACCAGAAGTTTCAAAATCATTTCTTCCTTAAACTTCGTATCCAGTCAAACAAGTTATATAAAATGAAACAGAGGGAGTGTTATTTAGACATAATGGTAAAGAAATTAAGTAGTTACCATAAGTTAGAAAGTTGTTTGCAGTCATAAAACAACAACAAGCATCTTGAAGCACATCCTGGTTAATGCATCAAATTCCTTTATACCGTCACTCCATAACTCATTCCATTTATCAACCATAGGATTCAAATAAACATCAATATCCTTTTTAGATACTCGAGGATTAGGAGTAAGCAGTGACATTATTATAAATGGGTCCTTAAAACATTTCCAAGTAGGAAGATTATAAGGAACTAAAATGACTAGCAACATATTATAAGATGTTCTCACGTTACCAAATGGATTTAAACCATCGGGTGCAACGTCAATTCTAATTTTAAGTGGTTCTCGTGCAAACCACAGATAATTCTCGTCAAACTCTTGCCAAGCTTCAGAATCAACAAGATACCTCAACTCATTTGCCTTCTCCAATTTTTTTTTTCATGCCACCTCATGTCCATACTTGTTTTTCCACATGTAAATAACATTTGATGTCTTTGGGCTCTTGGCTTCAAGGGAAAATACTATAAGACTTTATAAGGAATCGTTTTATCCTTTCCCTTAAAAACTTTCCACGCTAAAGTACCACAATGTCGACAGCTTGTCTCCCTAATTAGGGGAAAGGCAATACCCACTTACACCCAAACTTGAGTCAAAATGTCAGTTACACACTTGTTCTTTGGCGGTCCTTACCCCATATATTTGTTTGAAGATCTACAATCTCCGGGAATTTATACAGGAGATACAAATTAGTTAGGCATGTTAGTCTATTTAGTTTATGTCCAATGTTTGCTAAGAGTTTTTTAGTCCTGTTAGAAGTTTATACACCACTAAAAAAAGAAAAGAGCCTCTTCTACTAACAAAAAATTTATAGTATTGGACTAAGAAAAACTTTGTTTTATAAAGTAATACAATTTATTAATGTTTGACCAAAAAACCATGCTCATATATAAGAGTATAGAATTTCTCTTGGATTAAGAAGATTATATGGAGCGATATGAACAATGAGGATTGATACAACTGACTCCAATTTGCTATAGATTGAGGCATAGTTGTGCTGTTGTGCTAATTTGACGAAACTAGTGAAGGAATCAACCACAAGTCAAAATTGTGGAGATTAAGACAAATCAACCACAAGTCAAAGAATAAGGATTTTATGGCTATTAGAATTAAACCAAAATATATGCACTACAAGATTGCAACCATTAAAGAATAAAGGTTAAAGGAGATAGACAACATTGTAGTGCATTAATGCAAACAATTCTTGGATCAATATTCGAATAGATTATAGGATAGACAAAGAAGTAACATATAAAACTATAACATGATGACCGTATAAAAGGAGTTACATTGGAGTGTTGCAGGATAGCAGAATAGAAAGATTACCTAACAAAAAATTAACAGTAGTAAAAGAAAGAAAAGGTCTATAGAACAATTTTGAGACCACTAACACTACATAGAAGTAAATGTTGGACATCCAAGGTCCAACATAATCACAAGAAGAATGCTGTAGAAAATAAGAACGTTAAGATGGACATATGTTTGAGCAAAATCAGAAATGATTACATCCTACGAATGGAGCATATAGCATAGAAAGGATAAAATGTGAGGATCTTAATATGTTTGACTATGTTCTACGCACTCGATATGCATCAATCATTTGGTGCGAGAATATGAAAATCGAAGGTAATAAAATGGATAAGGTAAACCTGAAATTACTTGAAGGAAATTGTTTCAACTAAGACTGCAACACAATGGAAGCAAACAATCATCTAATCGGGTTTAAAGCATAGTTGTTGTCATTACACTTACATAAGGCCAGATATTTGTTAAGGATCTTTTTATTTGGATAGAGACTAGTATTTCCTGGCTGTAGTAATAAGAGTGAGATTTAGATCTAATTCCAGAGAACCACTTAAAAGACAAATTTACTATTAGAATGTAATGGACCTTAATAGAGGTTAATGGCTATGGAAGATTAATATATAACCAAAGTGAACTATTTTAAATTGAGGCGTAGTTGATTGAATGATATGGTATTTGAAAAACTACTTACTATAGGTTAATATATTTGTAATCTGCAAAAGCATTCCTAAAACTTTAAAACCTGCTCAAAACATACCAAAAAGTAACGTAGCTGAAAGACCGGTTTATTATTAAATATAAGAATATGTGGCATGCAAAGGCGAACTACTAGTAAATATTACACATCACATATCGGTTTAGACGGATGCCAATACTATGTCTATTTTCTTAAGCACCGCCCCCATTTTTTCTGATGCAATCAAGATCCAAATAGCTCGTTCAAACTATTCCCTAGTTCAACCAGAAACTCATAGAATTGATATGGAGATTTTGTTATATGAAAATAGTGAATGAAGATACAGATTTTTCCTCAGAAAAGAGGCAGGATAAAAGCTGACAAAAAACACAGCTATCTGTAAGGTTCTCAGAGAGTTCAAACATTCAATCAAAAGGTTAAGCATATAGTGCGCTTCACAGATTCAGAGACATAGTATAAAACCTGATTAGGGTGCAAAACTAGAGTGTTCACAACTGCTCGACTTTCATATTCCCTCTTAATGACCTGGTGCATATACTCAAAAGATTCAAATATATTTTTGATAACCTCAAAAGATTCAAATATATGTTGACTTAAAAGAGAGATGGAAGTTGGAAAGATAGCAAACCATCTGTCTCTGATATCTACAATACCTCAAATCCCAAATTTTTACAGTGCCAACCTCAGATCCTGAATACATCCAATTTTCATCACAATGGAATCTTACTGCCATCACAATGTTAGTGTGTGAATCAAAGCTATCTGGAAAAAGAGGGTGACAAAATCTTTGTTTAGCTTGGGGAACTCAAATCAACACAAAACTAGATATTTCAGAGCCACAACAAAGGAAAGCACTAGGTAAAACAAAAGCGCATTAAGAAAGGAAATAATAAAGAATTAGTCTATAACCTACCGGCTGAGGAATGTTCGAGTTAATGGTAAATAATCGAATGTAAGGATCTCCAGCAGCAGTCAGGAAGTGATTATCCAGAGTAATTTTGAGCAGATTGACTTGTATACAGTTCAAGAAAGGGAAAGGAAGTAAGTAAAGGCAGATGTATCACATAACTGGTCCAATAAAAATAAGTTGATTTAAAATGCAAATATTTTTCCATGCGATTTGACTGTCCATAACACCTTTCCCACCAATATAGTTCGTTTGGGCAGATGAAAAACAACTCAACTATTTTGGGGGTAAAGTTCACATACTTGATAAAAAATGAAGCTTGAGTTGGTTTCCCATTTCGCAAACTTGGCATCAAATTTACCCCGTAATGACATATGTCACATATATGCGAAAAGGCAATTTGGCAAAAACATTTTATATAAAAGCTCATTCATCTTAATTTCATTTTTCCTCCAAAAGAAAAGAAGTTATAGTCTCAGAGCATTATGCCATCTGCTAATGAATAATGATAAAGCACCCACCTCCAATAATGACCATATATAATGAAACTAGAAGTTGGCAAAAAACATCTAGGCAGCAGCAACAACAGTGAAAATAGATTGCTGCTGAATCAGCCATACTTATCCAGACATATAAGAGTCTTAATGTTACTATTTGAACAAAGCTCTTAACACACAGAAATCTCAAATGTTACTAGGATCACCAAGAAATTCTAAGAGTTGATATATGCTTTAATCATCAACTTATTATCTGTGTACATATCCATGTATAGAACAGAGAGGACCACATATAGAGGGGCATTAACAAGAATGAGGGCAAATTCCTGAAAGAAAGCAAAAGCATAACACATGAATGTGAGACCATGTGCTCCGACCTTTGTGTACAAATTTACCCAACATCCGTGCAAATGGAACGTAGTAGGGACTCAGTGGAATAGTCATAGTCAAGGTGCACGCAAGTTAATGGTATAGCATTTATAACCAAAAAAACAAAGAAAATAAAAAAACCAAAGAAACTAAAACGACCAAATATAAACTGAAAGCAAATATCTTACATGATCCTTCTCTCATAGATTAATTAAAGATAACATAAAAAAATATTTTTTACTGTTAAATACAAATAAAAGTGGTAAAAAGAATTGAAGTTAAGGAGACATACTAATACTGGGTACTGGAGGGATCTTTATTCCTTCTTTCTATTCAAATTCACACACAAAACAGAAAAAGAACTTTTCAGGCANGATTGTTACATAATATACTGTACCTGAAAAATTAGGGATCAGATTAGATCATTGATTGATATAGCACTAGGGTTTTGCAAGATTTTGTGAGAGATACATACGCAATAAAAGGTTGAGTTGGGTTTGAACTTTGAACTTTGAAACCATTCTAATTTGTAGTGATGACAAATAAATACATAACGGTTATGCCGGTATGGCCCCTTCACTAAGATAAGTGGTACTTTAGTACCTTATGTATACTTTAGTTACACTTCAGCTCCCTAAGCTTTAAGTGGGCTTTGAGTTGCTCGGAGAAAAAGTCCAAAATAGTCCTTAAGGATGCTGGTTCCTTTTCATATGGAGTACTAAGAAAGTATCAACCCTTCAGCTTTTTATAATGGATTTATTTTTAACTGAAATTAGCTATATGATTTTCCTCTGACATGTTTCCAACTTTAATTTATCTAAAAAGAGAAGAGATAACAATAGAAATAAGTTAAACATTGGCACCACTTACTAATTATTAGCCATTAAGTAATGATATCAAAATAGCTAGAATAGAGTTACGAATGATATACAATATTCAAAAAATTTAGACAAAAAAGATCTCTTTAATGGTATAATTGAAATTCAATGAAAACATATAGATGAACCAATATAGAAAATTTGAGTAGGATTGGACATGATCTGGACTGATTTGGAGTCAAAATTCATAACCAATGATATATAACATTCAAAAAAACTAGGAAAAAGAATTTATTTTCAATTGGCATGGTTGAAATTCGTTAAAAATAATAGAGGAGGCAAATTTTAAACTTGAGGAAAATTAGAGGTTATTTGGACTGATTTGGAGTCAAGATTCATAGTTAAAATCGACTAGAAAATTTTCTCTGCGGGACATGTACTCATATTTATCTCACATGCAGATATACTGGATACACATTTGATACATATGGGATACACAGATGATACACGAGATACACATCTCATCTTTTTTAACGTTTGTCTTTGATTTTGATTTTGGCTCAACTTCAATTTAAACCACCTCAAATCTCTATAAGATTGTCCAATAATTGAAATTTAAATTCCTTGAAATGTAACCAATCTATTCAAACAACAGTCACTCGAAATTTCAAAAATCCAAAATTTCAAACTCAAGTTTAAGAGAGTCTCAATGGCTTTTAATAGTAAACTCAGAAATCACACAGGTATGCACATACTAGGAACACAATAAAATGGCATTATCGTAGGAACTTGGGACAAATCTCAGTTCGTAGTGATCAAATCGAGGATAAAACCTCCAATTGTAAATCTCAATTTATGATTTTTCTTGTATTTTTAATCCTACATTGAATAAGTAGTAATATATTTCAGCATTCGGGGTTGTTAGCTAAATTGCAAGAATTCAATCGAGAATTCGAGGACTAAGCAGTTGAATTAGGAGCTTTGCTGAGAAGCTCGAGAGGATCCGCTATGGCGATGGGAAAAGAAGATGAATCTGAGAGAAATGAGAGGATTTGAGAGAGAAATTGTAATATCTGTATATTGATAATTGTAATATGTAAAATACACTAATTTATAGAGAATATAAGTTCCCACAATTCAGTCTCGATTCTCTCCTCTTTCAACTAACAAATTGACTATTTGTTGTAACACTCTAACTAACTTTTAACTAACTCTGCTAACAAATTTTCGGAAGACTATATTTGTTTATCAATACTCCTCCTGTAGAAGATCCTTGACCACAAAGACCAAAGTTGGAAATCTTTTCTTGAGCACGGTAAAGTATTCCCAAGTAGGATGATCTGCTGATAGGCCTGACCATTTGACTAGAACATGTGCAACTGCTTTATTACCCTTCTTCACCATCCTTCTTTGCAGAATAGATTCAGGGTAGGGGCAATGGGGGCTAGCAATATCAATGATAGGAGGGTATGAAATCTGAGCAGGTACCTCATAACACTTCTTCAATAAGGACACATGTATAGTAGGACGTATCTTTACTAAAGAAAGAAAAAGAAGAGTGTAGGGTGTTGATCCCACCTTTCTTATGATCTGAAAAAGGGCCATAATACTTAGTAGCTAGTTTGTGAAATGGCTAAGTGGGTAGGGTAATCTGTCTGTAAGGTTGGACCTTCAAATATACCCATTTTTCCACTTCAAATTGTCTTTCACTCCTATGAGAGTTAGCTTGTTGCTTCATTCTGAGTTGGGCCCTCATTAGGTGATATTTCAGTAGTTGCAATTTGAGTTTTCTGTTCAACAATGTGTTATCAACATCAGCTGATGCAGATTCACCTGGTAAGTAAGGCAAATGTAGAGGAGCTGGCCTTCCATAGAGTGACTCACAGGAAATAGTTTTAATAACAGAATGATAAATGTATTGTACCAATATTTTGCCATAGCTAGATAGGAATACCAGTCAGTAGTTTTATCATTGCAAAAGCAACTCAAATAGGTTTCTAAACACCTATTCAGAACCTCAGTCTGAGCAGATTGAGGATGGTAAGCTGAAGAAGTATGCAGCTGTACACCATGTATGGAAAAGAGTTCATACCAGAAAGAACTCAGAAAAATTGCTTCTCTATCACTAACAATTGATTCTGGAAGACCATGTAATTTGAATATAGTGTCCATGAACACCTTAGCTACAGATTGACTTGTAAAAGGATGTTTAGTGACCATATTTACTAGGTCTATCCACTATCACTAGTATTACTTCATAGCCATGAGATTTTGGAAGCCCATTAATGATGTCACGACTGGAAATCCCAACATCAGGGTCGTGATGGCACCTAATATCTACTTGCTAGACAAGCCAACATGAAATAAGTAACTAACTAATTTTAACAGTTAAAAACAACAACAACAACAACAACAATAACAATGACAACAACAACAACAACATAATACCCAGCATTATCCCACACAGTGGGGTCTGGGGGTAGTGTGTACGCAGACCTTACTCCTACCTAGTGAGGATAGAGAGGATGTTTCTAATAGATCCTCAACTCAGAAAAGCATAACCACCACATTAATGAAAATATAGATAAGAAGGAACAACACCAAAAATCCATATAAAAGTAGAATAAAAATAGCAAGATAGTAAGGTGATAAATAATGAAAGAAAACAACGGTTAGTCATAAAAACCTACTACCAACATAAAACGGGACAAACGTGCCAATACTACTGTTATGAACACTCTAGACTACCTACTTACCTTAATTCTCGACCTTCATACCTTCCTATCAAGGGTCATGTCCTCCGTCAGCTAAAGTTGCACCATGTCTTGCCTAATCACCTCTCCCCACCTCTTCTTTGGCCTACCTTTACCTTTCCGTAAGCCCTCCAATGTCAACCTCTCACACCTCCTCACCGGGGGTTTGTGCTCCTCCTACTCACATGACCAAACCACCTAAGTCGCGTTTCCCACATCTTGTCCTCAATAGGGACCATACCCACCTTACTACGAATAACCTCATTTCTAATCCTATCTACCTGGTGTGCTTGCACATCCATCTCAACATCCTCATCTCTGATATCTTCATCTTCTGGACATGAGAGATCTTGACTGCCTCACCTCCCCTTCCCCTTTTGAGTCTCACCACTGAACTTACACTCCAAGTATTCTATCATAGTCTTGCTCAACTTGAAACCTTTAGACTCCAGGGACTGCCTCTATGTCTCTAACTGCACGTTCACACCGCCTTATGTCTCATCAATCAACACAATATCATCTGCAAATAGCATGCACCATGGCACCTCCCCATGGATGTGGTGCGTCAGTACGTCCATCGACAGGTCAAACAAAAAAAGGCTAAGTGCCGACCCTTGATGCAACCCCATTATAAACGAAAAATGGTCTGATTCCCCAATCACCGTCCTCACTCGAGTTTTTGCTCTATCATACATGTCCTTGATCACCCTAACGTAGGCAACAGGTACGCCCCTAGCCTCCAAACATCTCCACAAAACCTCTCTCGGAACTTTATCGTATGCCTTTTCTAAGTCGATGAACACCATATGCAAGTCCTTCTTCCTCTCCCTATACTGCTCCATCAATCTCCTTATAAAGTGGATGGCTTCTCTAATAGAATGCCCCGACATGAACCCGAACTGGTTCTCGGAAATAAACACTTAACAATTAAAAGAAAAATAATGATATTCAATAAGAAATAAATTCCAAATCTAACACAATGCGAATATAAACAATGTGATACGGGCTACTCCCAGAAATCAGGAGTCACGAGTACACGAGTATCTAGAAGTCTAGAAACATAGTTTGAAATAAATATAATTGTTTGAAAGAGATAGACAGTAAAGGTAGAAAATGGCAGGAGACTTCAAGGTTTGCGAACACCAGCAGATCTACCTTGAGTTTCCGTATGAAAGTAATCCGAGCCGATGCACCTCTAAGCACCACTAGGACCGATACCAGTATCTGCACAAGAAGTACAAAGGTGTAGTATGAGTACAACCGACCCAATGTACTCCGTAAGTGTTGAGCCTAACCTCGACGAGGTAGTGATGAGGCTATGACAAGACACCTACGTAAAAACCTTGTACAATATGAAGCAGCAAAATAACAAGAAGAATGATAAAATATTAACTGGGAGGAGACATGCGATAGGGGAAAATATCATGAAAACAGTAAGTACGATATCCCGACATATTTCCTCGCAAATGTGAGGTTACCCAATCCCAGACCCTGCTCGCAAATGCGAACTCTTATTTGCAAAAGCGAATCTCTCAATTGCGAGTCACACAAGATCTACAGCAGACACTAGAGCTGGTATTGCACCAACAATCTTCACCCTAGAAAAACTCATTTGAAACACGTTCGAAACTCACCCTAGCACCTCAGGCTCCAAACCAAACATGCTCACAAGTGTAATAACATCATATGAACTTGCTCGCACAATCAAATCACTAAAATAACATCAAAATTTACAAATAAATCCTCAAAACAAATGAAATTTCAAAGTAAAACTCAAGAACACTAGATTCACATCTAAGCATCCGAATCATTTCAAATCAACTCTGTTTTGCACTAAATTTTGCAGACAAGTATTAAATAATAAAATGAACCTATACCAAATCGCGAAACCGAAATCCAAACCCGGTAACAACAAGGTC